AACAGCCGAGAGACAAGAGGTGCTGATGGGAAAAGGAGCTAAAAATGACAGGAATGATGATTGAAAAAACAGGAGCGTCACAGGAGTGCAAGTGTGATGAGGGTGAAGAAGAACACGGGGAGAATAAGGGAGCAGCAGAAATGGAAAAAAATGGAAGAAAGAAAGGCCAAGGCATCAGCCAGAGGTCATTCATTATACATCAGACACCCACAGCCATCTACCACCTCCTCCTCATTCTTCGCCTTCACTCTGCTCTGACATGTTTTCCTCCTTCTTCCACTGTCAGCTTTGCTTTTATTCTCACCCTTTCCTACACTTTTTTGTTCTTTCTCTCTTGATATTTTATTTATTTTTTGTTTCTTCATTTGCAGTTTATTTTTGTTATTATTTTTATTTATTTTAATTTTTTTTTATTTTCTTCACAGCCGATATGTAGGCACTTCTCTCCCATGTCTTCAATCGTGGAATCCTGAAAGATTTTGATGATGTCTATGTCCTAAAAAAACAAAAATCAAAAAACCCAGTCTGCTTCTAACACTTGTCAATTTCTGAGGTATGTACAGAAGAGCAGATCCTTTTTCCCCCTTTTGGCAGGCATCTCACAGGCTGTGCTCTTTCAGGAGAGCACAGCCATTAATGTTTAAATGAGAGGCAAAAATTGCACAAGTTCTATGTTAGTGACTACAAATGTAGAGGCTTTCAAATCTTGGACGTGAGTTGTTGAGTTCTGAAAACAGTTTCACAGGTTTTTAGAAAGGTGTTTAGACACCAGCAGAAACTGGTGCATTCACGGGGGATAGGGGGAATCAAGCATTTACAGACTACGGCAGCGAATGAGCATCCGCATACCAAGAAATGTTTTATTGATGCCTATCATAAAGAATCTAAAGCAAAGACTATAGATTAAAGATAATTGCCAGAATAAAAAATGACTTCATGTGGTAGAAATAAACTGAGCACTGGTGAGCTTTCTCTTGTCTTTGTCCATGTGTCTGTAATGTGAGCATGTATATGAGTGTGTTTGTGTACCCAGGCACGAGACAGACAGACAGATGCGGAGTGAGAGTCTGTTTACTTGCTCTCCCAGTTCATTTATCTCCCTTAGAACCTGCCCCTGGCAGGGTTGCCACGACGACTGAGAGTGTGCTTAATGTGGTCATTCCCAAATGACGTTTGTAGCTGCAGCCATAATTACTCGGTCGCCTAGGAGACTTTAGTGCTGCTGATCATTTGTGACAAAGGTCGGAGGATGCATTGGATTTTGGCAGCGTCACATGTGTCATATTAACCTTTAGCAGCAGGGAGTGATTTAAAGTTAAAGAGCCTTTTGAAACTCAGGTTTTTACTGACGTTAAGTTGTGATATGTAAAATCTATGAAAACAGAGAAAGATGTTGTGATGTTCTTCTTAATCAATTAGTTAGACTAAATTTTTAATGGTTTCATCCTCACCTCATTTCTGTTTGAATCAATAAAGTGAATCTGTTTTGGCTTTGGGATGTTTTCCACATGAAGGATGTGGCTGATCTGGACCTTTGTCATATTTTACATACTAGTAAAACCTGTTCAGTCTTACAAATTAAATATTAACTGCTTTTGTGAGTATCATATGTGGACTACTTAAAACATGTATGTGCAAAAGTCTTGCACCAACCCTTGTGTCTTCTTTTCAGTCCAGCTGAATTGAATTTATATAGCACCAGTTCGAAACAACAGGAGTCCAACTTTCTTTTAATAGTTCTTTTAATTTGTAATAGTTCTCCAGACTTTCTGAAAGTCTTTTAAAGTTCTTCTTTTGACATTATCTGCTTTTTCACTCATTTTTAGTCCAGTCCTTGTACCTGGCTATTTTCAGATGGATGAAGAATCAGATACATCTTTTGTTTGCTAAGCAACTTAACACTGATCTATGAATCACTGAAGCACAAAAAGGCACCTTAGTCAAGGGGTGAACCAGTGTTTACATGTACCAGATGACTTAGCAAACATCCAGTTTAAAATTGTATCCAAATGCACTTTGTTACTAGCAGCCTATCAAAAAACCTCATCATCTGTTCTAATTTCAAAGATAACAGATGGAATTATGATTTTGATCCACTATATAATACCATCAGGAAGGCAGCTGATGGTTAACAGCGTCATGACAATGATCCCAACAACTCTGCCAGTACATAAAAACCATACCTGGATAGAAAAAAACACAGTCAAGGATTGGCCTCCCAGAGCCTGGCGCATTGTGGGATCATCTTGACAGAGAACAGAACAAAAGGCACCAAACATCCAAAGAAGAGCATTGAGTGTCCTTGAAGAAGCCTGGAAACTGTTCCTGAAGACTGCTTAAAGAAGTTAGAAGAAAACTGCCAACGAGAGTTCAGGCTGTGTTGAGGAACAAATGTGGTCACACCACATATTCACTTTCAAGCTTTAAAATAAAAAGAAACAACGGATGAATTCACATAGGAATGTTTCCTGTTATGAACTAATGCTGTCACAGGTGACGTCTTACATTTCAGAAGTGAAGGGTCTCAGCTACATCAGTTTCATATGTTGAAAAATCCACATTTGCAGTTTCATGTGTGAGCAGTTTTTTTTATGCGGGTGTCAGAGTTAAAGCTCATTCTGACCTTACCAGAAAAGAGGAATAGATTGAGAAATAAGGGGGAAGGGTTTGCATGTGTAAAAACAGAACAGATGGAGCTGTTATGAAGTGTTAATGAGCGTGAATCTGCAAAAAAACATATGAAAACAAATGACAGGCGTACTCCTCATGTCACCTCATAACTAGCTAGTCTGCACATATATGGGTTCTAAATAAACATGCACAGCTCTGTAGTCTGCATGCTAACATGGAGTTCAACAGCATAAAAGCATGTTTCGTAAGGGAGACGGGAAATGTCTCACGATACTGAGCATCTGTTTAATAGCTTGAAACACAGTAACTCATTTTTTGGCTGAATGCAACATCAAAGTGTGTGTGTGCATGCATATGGCAGCTCTGTTGGGCTTCTGAAGGCTGTAAAAACAAAAACATTCAGCAACGCCAGGACAGAAAGAGTTAATTGCAGGCTTGAAATCATTAGTAGCAACTGTGAGGAGATTCAAACATTTAAAAATAACCTGGCTACCAGATGTGGCTGGGTGGTGTGTGTGTGTATTACTCACGCATGAAGCTGCTGGCGTTACTCTACAAATACATGAAGAGACCAGCCAAAATGGATTTAAAAAGTCTTGAAAGCATTTTATAAAAATTTTTTAGTTATAGAAGAATATATATAAGATACACAGAATAATAATAGTTATTATTCTTTAGGGGAAAAATAAGGAAAACGAAATGACCCAATCAGGGTAGAAGGAAGAACAATAAAAACACAGTTCTCAGTAAAACCAGCACCCTGCAGCGATTTGGCTTCAGCACACTTGGATACTCGCTTGCTTTTCAACATTTGCCATTCTCAAACTACATTTTATAACTTGTAACCAATCTGAACAAAAGACTTTGTTCTCGTACAGCCGCAGAAAGCCATTAATCTTCGATTCATAGCCAATCAAAGAATGTTTACAGCTTGCTGCAGCTCATATGTCTTCTTCTTTGTCATTTTGTTAAAGGGCTTTAAATAGGTCCAATTTCAAACTTGTCCGTGTTTTGTATATATTTGTATAGATGAAGAGCCTAACTAATATCTAAAACAGATGGTGGGATCATGGGGGTTTACTACAAGGTAAATTCACTGGGCTCAAGACAGAAATAGCTTTTAGATATGAAAGCAAGATCACCTTTGGTAAAGAAAAGCAGATGCCGTTTTTCTACCCACGCACTGACGTGGCCAATAACAGTAAATCCACCAAATGGTACAGTGTGTATTTTTAGATAAATACAAAGAAAGGAACCAAATTTAGAATCAAATCAGATCCAAGGTTCTCAAAAACAGGACAGGATGTTGAAATGTGCAAAACATAATCAGAATATCAGACTACGACCCTGGCGCAATACAGTAATATGTATATAAAACACAGACGTTCAGTGAGCAAGGATAAAAGTACATTTCTTAAAGATTTGTCATCCAGTCACACAGGTCTAGATGCTGACTGGTAACTGTTCACTGAGGACAAATGTGTATCCTCTGATCATTTGGTGAGGGGTGAAATTGCTCTACCAAAAATCATCTTGCGTTGAGGCAATGTTGCCTGCAAACACTCAGCATTTACTTTTCGAGCTGTAGGGAAAAATTAGAAAAACTGACACAAAGCAGAAGCATAAGCCGTCCACCTTCACCGTTAAAGTTGCATCTTTTTGGTCTCAGTGGTAAGCACTTTTACTTCTTTTTTTTTAAAAAAAATACTGCTTAATGAGTTGTTGGTGAGTGTTTGCAGACGAGGTGGCAAGTTTCCATGACAACTACAAGTGACCAGTACACAGTTTTTACTGTTGACAAATCCATTATTTGCAAAACATAAATGTTGTAAAAATCAGAAATGTAACTGATAACAATGGGGTGGCTGCGGCTCTGGAGGTAAGCAGGTCATCTAATAATCACCAGGGTTGGTGGTTTGATCCTTGGCTGTTACAGTCTGCATGCCAAACTGTCCTCATCAGATTGTGAATGTGAACGTTCGATACGATGTAACCTTTCTGTTGATGAGTCAGTGTGTTCGTCACTCCTCGAGCGTGGACGTCCTCTGTGTCCACGATAACTTCCATAACAAATCATAATGTGACCCGTTTGGTCCCGAGGAGATAACAGATTGTTTCCATGATGGTTTCCCGCTATAGTGTCGACGTGGCCAGCTGTATGTGTGTATTTTTTCTTTTTGTGAGATTACATGAGAGTGGTTTATGCTGATTCATTGTCAGCTTTGTCAAATCCTCCTTTGTGAGATGTGTGTTCAGTTCTGCCTCTCAGCCAAAAACCTGCTCTTCACAACAGGGACGGTTACATTATGTCCCGTCACAGTTACTTCTGTGTGACAGTGACTCAACAGGAGCCTTCTGGTTTCTTGCAGGTGAGCCTGAGTTTAAATACATCGCCAACATGCATGGCAACGAGGTGGTGGGCAGAGAGCTGCTCATCTACCTGGCTCAGTACCTGTGCAACCAGTACCAGCAGGGCAACGAGACCATCATCGATCTCATCCACAACACCCGCATCCACCTCATGCCGTCAATGAACCCCGACGG